AGGAAATTCACAATGGTGTAGTTCTTCTTTCTTGACAGTGTTTTATCTGTTTTGTTAACCTTTCCAAAGACCTAGTATCCAATTTGTGTTTACCCTCTCTGTTGCATATTTTTTACTTCTTAATTTCTGTTTTCATTTTTGTTATTTGTTTCCTTCCACTTTCTTTGGGTTAGTATAGCTCTTTTCTAGCTCTTAGAGGTATATACTTAAGACATTTTTAAACTTTAATATTTTTAAAGTATATACAGTAAGATTATTTTCTTTTGCCAATGGCATTTTCCAGTTTAATTAGTGCTTTCAATAAGTAATTTTCTTCTTTAAAAATATATATTCTGGAGCAGAGGCTCAACTTCCAGGACAAACTCTGCACATACAGGCCTCTTCTTCCCACCCCTCTCCTCCAAACACCAGGGATGCCACCCCCTGGAGCATTCTCCCCAGTGCACACCATAGGCAAGGGCAGCCTGCTCACCACCATTCATGGCAGAGAGGATAAACAAGCCAACAACAGCTGCCAAGTCGGCTGTGTACCTGCCAAGTGAGCCCAACACTTGCCAAATCCTCTACTACATATGGAGGGAAAGAGTCCCTAAGCCAAGCCCAGAGACTGCATCAAATTTTGCCTGCTGGCTGGGAGCAGGGGTCTGAGATGGGCTGTGTTTGATTTGAGTACAAGTGTTGAAACTATTATAACCCGAACCAAGTCTCTCCTCACAACACAGCAACATGATCCAAACTATTTAAATTAAACAGTCAAAGGGATACACACTAATCTAGCTGAAATGGTCTTTGTATCTTTCAAACTCTCCTTACCCTACTTGACCTCAAACCTCAGCACCAGCAAAACAGAGCACACACACACACACACACACACTCACCCCCCATGTGTAGGTGAAAACAAGGTAACAGAAGGCCTCCAATGTTTCCAAGTTCTTCCAAGGCAAATCCAGAGAGCACTGATGAAAAGAAAACACCAGGTAGTAAAACTTTATGATTAATAAATTAAATAAGAGTTAAAGAAACTTAGTGAGTTCAAACAGGACATAACCTAAAACCTCATGAAATTATGCAAAATAACCAAAGTAGATATGAGAGAAACAGATATAAAAAAAATTGGAAGAACTGATCAAAATGGTTCAAATCATGAATGAAAAAATTTACTAAAACTCTAGACTCCACAAAAAGGTAACAGACAGAAATACTGGATATAAAAAATTGTACAGAATTCAAGAGTTACAGAAATGACCAATATTATATCAAAAATGGTAAATTAGAAACAAATTACTCAGAGAAACCTTAAAAAGAACAGTTTGTCCAACAGCTCGTAGACAATATGAAGAAGCCAACCTAAGGCTAATTGGACTTAGAGAGAAAGTAGAAGACAGCACACATGAAATAAAAAATTTGCTTACAAAATCATAATAGAAAACTCTCTAAGTATGAGGGAATATTTCAACATACAGATATGTGAGGCTCACAGAACACCAACTAAGTACAGTGAAAAAAGAAAGTTCTAGCAACCTATATTAGCCAAAATTCCAGATGTCCAAAGCAAATTGCAATTCAATGTGCACATTAGAAAAACAGAGTGATCTCAAGTAAATATCTTAATGAGAACATCAAGATACTTAAAAAACAATTTAACAATTTAAGGCAGGGGAGATAGCTCAGTGTCTTAAGCCCTGCCTGGCAAGCACCAAGTCTTAAGTTCAATCCTTGGTACAAAAACAAACAAACAAATGAAATTTAACCCCAAACTGAATTTAGTGAGGGAAATCATAAGGATCAGACTGAAATTAATAAAAATGAAACTAAAAAGTAACTCAGTAGTGTCCCAAATTTTCTGATCAAGGAGATTATGGGGACAAAGAGGAAAGTGATCAATCATGTAGAGTG